CTAAACGCCAAAAAGCTTATGTGAAGCTAGGTGAACCCGGCCCATCCCAGCCAAAAAGAAATATTCACAGTGCCAATGTCATGCTCTGCATTTGGTGGGATCAGAGAGGTGTTGTATATTATGAGTTGCTCGAACCCTCTCAAACTATCAATGGAGAAATTTACCGACGACAACTAATGCGTTTGAAGCGAGCCATAGAAGAAAAACGACCAGAATGGGTGAATAGGCCCAGTAAATTAATTCTTCAACATGACAATGCCAAACCGCATACCGCCCAAGTTGTGAAAAGATATTTAGATGGACAGGACTGGCAAGTGCTACTCCACCCGCCATATTCGCCAGACATAGCTCCTTCGGATTACCACTTATTCCGAACACTGCAGTTAGATCTTACGGGAGAACGGTTCACTTCATACGAAAGTATCAAAATTTGACTTGATAATTGGATCAGCTCAAAAGACCAGGATTTCTTNAGAGAACAGTTCACTTGATACGAAAGTATCAACATTTGGCTTAATAATTGGATCAGTTCAAAAGACCAGGATTTCTTCAGGCAAGAAATACGTAAATTACCTGAAAGATGGGCGAAGGTTGTAGCTGCAGATGGAGCATACTTCCAATAAACTTTTCTTTAATTTTCTAAATACGCAAATGTGTTTTATTTGAACAAAAAAGGGCGGAGTCATATTCACACACCCAATAGAACCTACCTTCAATTCGATTGTCCTGATAATCGAGCAATTTATAGGTAGTCAGTTCAATCCTCCTTAGGCGACTGATTTTAAAAATTTCAGTTGTCCATTTAGGAGTATAACCTTTTTCAAAGACATGTTTATATTTGCTGATTCTCACTTTATCATTGATTTTGAATTTCGGTCTACTAACTCTATTGTTCACAAATTTTCCATAAACTCGGTGATGCAGAAACTTTTCATTGGAATTGTTCACATTCTTTGGCTTCATATGAATTGTTCGATGTTTTGTATCATTATTAGATGATATGATTTCGGGAAGTATATCCAACCACCTGTATGATCCTCGAAGAGAGAATTTTTTCCACATTCTCTTTTTCAATGTACGATTGAATCGTTTACAAATCGATGCTTTTAAATTGCTATAAGTTGAATACATTTTTGTATTGAATTTCTGCACAAGACTTTGGAATTCTTTGTTATAGAATTCTTTTCCTTGATCGACATGTAGTTTTTGAGGTATGCTTCACTCGCGTCTGCAATTTGTTGTAGGACATGTTTCTCTTTATTCAAGATAGAACTTGCCATGTTAAATGTGCTCTGGATGCGACTGCTTGGAAAAATCATACGCATTATATATTTATAAAAGCATCGAATCCTCTTCGATAACGACCATAATTAAGTTCTCTATCCTTGTCGATCACTAAGAAGCTGTATTTATCAACATTCCAACATGAGGAACATATATGAATTAGTTGTAGGACATATGTGTATTGACATGACCTTCATAAATATGTCGCAGATTCTTATCATCTTGCGTAAATACGATTAATAAATTTGCATTATCACGTACAAGATGTTTTGGGATACGTGTATATATCTGACAAAGATAGAAACAATCAACATTACGGTGTCGTCCCATACAAAAAAATGCGGGCATATTATCTTGTCTTAAACATGCAACATTATCAAAGATGAAAATGGAATTAGAATGCGCATCTTCCGGTTTTATCACTTCTTCATGCTCGTTGAATGGAAAATATCTGATCATATTCGTTGCTTCTAGAACTTTTTTCAGGAACTCATACTTCGGTTGATTTAATGATTTCGAATACACGTAAACATGTTCGAATCTCAAACCATTTGGATATGTGATGAGCGCCAATAATGGATTTGTTTTGCCACAGTTAGAAGGTCCGCAAAAAATGGCACGTACTGTATTCGGTAATAATTCTCCATGACGTTTCTCTTTCATCCTATCATCCGCATTCTGTACTACTTAATCGAAATTGAAAATTGGTAACCTCAATTACTGTTCTGCGAACTTCATCCTTGATGAGTATTACTCATGGCTTCTCGCGTTCAACTGTGGTCAAAACATATAAATAGCGGATATATATACTATCCACAGCCATTCATATGCAAACTATGAAAGTGAAAGGATGTAAGAAAAGTGGAAGAGGAGTGTTCAATAAGATAATTGATAAATTACCCATCGAACTCCATATCCCCGGTTATCAATATTGTGGACCAGGAACAAAGCTGTCAGGACGATTAGCTCGCGGTGATCCTGGCATTAATCTTTTAGATAAAGCGTGTAAGAAACACGATATCGCATACTCAAAAAATCGAGAGAATCTTTCAGCTAGACATAGTAGTGATAAAGCATTAGAAGGGAAAGCGTGGAGACGTGTTAAATCGAAAGACGCAGGTGTGAATGAGAAAGCTGCTGCTTGGGCAGTAGCTAATACTATTAAAGCTAAAACAAGCTTGGGTTTTGGATTGAAGAAGAAAAAAGTGAGGAGAAAAACTACAAAACGCGGGAAAAATTTGGTGAAGAAAACGAAAACATGTGGCGCAGAAGAAATCGCCCTCAGAAAAATAATCAAAAAAGCGAAACAGTCGATGCACCCTGGGGATGCAATCAAATCAGCTCTTCAAGCTGCACGAGTTGCTGTCCGAAAAGCTGGGGGAAAGCGTTTCATAAAATCACCAAGAATATTACCAGTACCCGGAAAAATTGGTGGAGTACTACCTTTCTTGATTCCCTTACTTGCTGGTTTAAGTGCCACGGGCAATCGGCTGTATTTTAAGCCCTATAAAACCGGATTGGGATTTCATTTAAAACAAAAAAACTCATAAAGCTACCACACCGAGCTCTCAGTGATGCCGATATCATAAAGTTCTGCAAACTGATGAAAATTCCATATTTTCGAGGGGTTTATATGAGAAGCGGATTGCCTAAAAGCGGACCTCGGAAAAATGGATCAGCTATAGTCAATTTAGATGATAGAGATGGTCTCGGTACTCACTGGGTGGCATATAAGAAACGGAACAATGAAGTTATTTATTTTGATAGTTTTGGGAATTTACAACCACCAAACGAATTGATGAATTATTTCGGTATTGGTAGCCTTGTTAAATACAATTACCAGAAGTATCAAGAATATGACAGAATTATATGCGGTCATCTATGCCTTAAATTTCTCAATGAACAGTTATAAATATCGCTCACACTGATGTATAAAGTTAGTTCACAGCTGACAGCCATGGGTGAATCGATCACGTTGACACTGACGGGTACCTCTTCCATTTTGAAAGCGAATTATTTTCCTCCCATTAAATTATACCCCAATCATCACTATAGTTTGACTCTTGTTGAATTACTGACATTCAATTCGATTCCAAATATCACAGAAAGGAATAATAAATTCTACTACTCTGCTAATAAGAAGGAGTATACGATTAACATTCCACCAGGCAGTTATGAGATTGAATTGGTAGACTACTCTGATTCAATTGGTAGACTACTCGGATTCAATAATAGGATCTTATCACCTGATAAAACCCATGTATCGGATTTGCCAGTAAGTATTCTCAAGGTGAATTCTATATGTGGAGTGTAACATCACTGGAGGTGCTTATGTTAATGGAAAGAAAGTTCACATTATCCATGAATACTTTCCTACGGTGCCTCCAGGATATAAGATCGTTGAAATCCCGAAAAATCTCATTTACCTTCCGATCGTGGTCCAAGCAATAGATCATCTTCAGCTGAAATTTGTGGAACACACAACACTTGCATTGTAATGTAATACCGAGACAAAAAGATATTGTTTTCGAATCAGCACGCAGCTTTTTTTGGTGACATTGTTGATATCTAATCTGAGGGGGATTGGTGTTTCCATTTTTTTTAAATCGAATTGGTACAGCTCCATTCGGAAACTTACACCAATGGATTTGGTAGAAATGAGAAAAAGAAAAAGAGTTATAACACATAAAGAAACGGTCAGATGGCTTCTACCAAAAAAGCTCTAACCCCAGCTTATTTACGGTTCTATATCTCCCCTCAGCCCCTCGATAAAATGTTAATAGAAAAATTTTATTTATACATACTTGAATGAATTTAAAACATCACATTCAAAGAAACCATCAAAAAGCTCCCTTTCAGGGAAATTCATGAAAAATTCGAAATTTTTAACAATCATCATAAAAATCAAATCAACGAATATAGCTATCGTAATCATCTTTTACCTTCAGCTTAATGGTATTAAAACAAACATGTTAAACTATAATTGAATTAGATATCCCGGGAACTCTGATTTTCAAAAAAATACTGAATTTTTGCAAATTTTCAAATAGATCAAAATAACGATTACTGCTATCACCTTTGTCTTCGAACTCGGTCAAAAGGATATCCAAACAAATTTTTTAAGCTATCATTCAATTTAAAACATTCTTGTAACATAATATACTATTAAAATCACTTCCCTGGTCCAACCCAAAAATTTTGATTTCGCATAACTTCAAAAAAATTGCTTTTTTAATAACATTTTAAGGCATGCATGGAACACTTCTACATCATATTCAATTTTCACCGATATCGAAAAGAAGTCGATTGAAATAGTATGGAACGCCCCAAAACAATAAATACTCAAAGGATGTTCAAATACACACTCAAATGGTCACTTGGAAGTTTACAATTTTTATGTTTAGGGATAGAATCAGGGCTCGGAAACAATGAGATTCCCCTTCAGTTTCAAAACGATCATAAGCGTCAAATGGAAAGGAACAGTATAACAATCATAAGAGAATTTCATTTAGACTCTCGTCACTAATGAATATTGTCTTGGTCTCGGTTCGCACATTTTTAAAAAGTCTCGTCACGTCTTATTCGCCACTACACCGGAATTGGTCTTGGTCTTATATTTTCAAGAAATGAGTCCCTACTCTGAAGAAGATAGTTACTTGGCAAAAATTATACATTTTTTTATTTACTAAAACAACTTCCAATTTTTAAAAAATTACCTCCTCCAGAAGCCTTGTCACTGCCTCAATATCATTATAGGTCTTGGTCATTTGGCTCACTCGATTGCTGCATAGAACTGTAACGAAAACAATGAAAAACATTTACAAATGATTCATTTTTCGAAATTTCAGTAAAAACAAAACACATTCATTGAAGCTGTGAAGTTCATTCATATGCCTTCGAAAAGGCTCTTAATGCAAAGAGGCTGAATGAATACCGAAAACTAGGGATCTGAGTATCTGCGAAACCCGCCAACGTTACCTGCTCTGTCAATGAGAAAAATTATTTTTTCGGCCACTACCCTTCCATTAAAATAATTGAATTATTATTCAAATTTTGATATCATGCGTAAAATAATATAATGTGTTAATGTTTGCAGGTTTTGATAGAAACTCATAGTGCATACTTCGGATGTTGTTTTATAGAGAAAGTGCATCAGTGTCCTATTGATCCCTATGAATAACCAGAGAGGCGTTGCAGCGCAGTCGCATCTGTTCAACCCCACGTGGTGCATCACAGTTTAAAAATAAATACAAATTGATGGATAGTATCATACTTCCATGTTGGACAAAAGTGGACGAAGATATTTTGAGACATTGCAAAAGAAAGCAAGTGAATTTTCCAAAATTTACTTATGAAAGTCTGTAGCGAAGTGAAAACAAATAAGTTCCGCAATTCCATACAGTTCCTTTGGCAAATATTTCTGGTAATTATTGTTTTTGGGCAATAATGTCAGAAAATGTGCATGGGTAGTGGCGGTGGGGGGGATAGGATTCGGTGACTTGAGAAATTTTCAAAAACCAAATAGTACATTTCGTCATAGGGCCGAAATAGTTGATATGAGTGAGGCGGAATTCCTACGAGTGTGAAGTTGGCGGCCTGAAACGAAGCCGAGGGCTGCCAATCACACGAGCTGAAAATTCCCGTCTCACATGTGTCAAACAATATTTTTTGACAGTAATGTTACGTTCAGCGGTTGGCCGAACTGAGCCTTTTCGTTTACAAGTGAACAAAAAGAATTTTCGTTTCCTTTCCGTTTACGAGTAGGCAAAAAGGCACTTTTCGGCACGAGGTGAACGGCGCAGTAGTATCAAAAAGAATATTTAGGAAATGGAGTACAGTAGACTCTCGTTATAGTCACACGCATGGGGGAATAGGGAAACCAAATCCTTAGAATGCGACTACATTTCCCTACTCCACGCACTCACAACAATGCTCCTAAATGAAATTCTCGCTGAAAGCACTGGAGTGTTCAAGTTTCGAATTCCGTACGTGATGGAGTGGGAGAAACGCTCAAGCGACGAACAATTGATATAAGGGGAACTGCGACTATAACAAGAGCATATTGTAGTATTTTTTCTACGTTTTGTCTCAAAAAATACGTTATTCCTAAGATTAATGAACAATCAACAATAGTTTAACGATTAGTTAAAACGACTGAACTTTACATAGATTATTTAGGCAATGTTCCTAAAACTGGCAGGTTAACCCATTGCAGCACGGAGAAGTATCGATGTGCGGGAAATTGGGGGGGGGGGGCGTTTCTATTAGTGCGCTATAAAAGAAGCAAGGTGGCGCATGCACACTACTACAAAAAGAGTAAAAGAAGGGTATCGAGACGGGTCGCAGTGGATTAAGAGAAAATTTTTAAAGGTTTTCGCATTTATACTAAATGTTTCAAAGTTTTTTTTCATTGTATACTGAACACATTTTGAGTCTTGAGAAAGTGAACAGATTTAATTTCATCCTACTGTCATTCATATAATCAACCGTAAATTTGTATTGGAAAGGTACTCCTTTAAAGAATTACTCGAAACATATGAAGTCGTCAAGTGAAATGTATTCATCATTACTTAAAAACGCATAATTTTTATAATTGACCGAACCATCTTTGTGTAGTCGCTAATTTTATATCGATAATGATCATTTATACAATATAAACAACAAATGCCATCACATGTGCTGGTGCTTGCTATGAAGCAACATAAAATGACATTTCTGTTTTTATATTTTGTATTTTCAAATCATTTATTACTGACAAGAGATGCACGTGCATGGAGCTTCCGCTGGTGACCCAAGGAGAAACAGTGGTGTACCCGGACTGCAACCTCTGCATCCCCAGCAGGGCGTAACACCGGTCGATGAACCTGCCGATTTCTGGTGATTTTCATCCCTTATCGAACCATTCACATTTCCTTCAAAGACGTCTTCCGTTGTTCTTCGTATTTCTTCATCGTATTCGTATGGATCATCGTCATGATTTGAACAACCACTGCTCAAATCATGACTAGATGATGTTCCTGGCTCCGGAGTTATACACACACGAGATTCTGGGTTCCGATCCACCGTGAAAATGTCACGACCCAACCAGGGCCAATAAAAGCTGTTGGATTTTGAACGTATTTTGGCTATGTTCCTCAAGAAGGTAATGTGAGTGAGCAGAGGAAGAATATATTCGATTAAATCCCTGAACCCATTTTTTTTTTGTTTATGGGGATGAAATTTTGTTTAGATTTTACTAGTTCTTATCATGAATAAAATATTTTTTGTCATTCCGGCAGTGAGGGAGCGCTTTACGGACGCTACATGCTATCTACGTTATGACAAAATAGTATGTTTCGATGCGAGTGAGACAGAGCACGAGTGTGAAGTTGGCAGCCCGAGGCGAAGCTGAGGACTGCCAATAACGTGAGCTGAAAATTCCCGTCTCACATGGATCGAGCAATATTTTTTGAGAGGGATATTACATTTAGCGAGTGGCCGAACTGTTTTTTTCGTTTACTTTTTGGCACGAGGTGCACGTAGCAGCAATATAAAAAAAAATTATTCGGCCCAAGTAGTATATTTCAGGGCGAGCGCCATGGGTTTTTTACTCGCGTGGAGTTGACGTCCGAGCCGAAGGCGAGGATTGGCTAACTAGGCGAGTAAAAGAAACCCGTGGCACTAGTCGTGAACGATATTTTTTCGTAGTGATTTTGACTTTTACGAGTTTAAGAAAGGGTCCATACGAATCCCCAGACGAGGAAAAGTGAAAGTCAGTACGAAAAAAAACTTTTCTGGCGAATATGAAGTTGCAGACTGAGCCGAAGGCTTATGTCGAAGTGCACTATTATGTCCCAGACGTGCTGACAACGAACAACGAACCGCAAAACACGAACTACGAATCATGAATCAAACCACAACGGAGGCGGTCACCCACCAAGTACATTACTACGGAAGCCCGGTCGTGCCATCGAGCGGAGAGAGTGTGAAACCCAGGTGCATTTTGGGTTACTGACAGTCCGTCGTAATCTTGGCTTGGTTGGCTTGACTTGGCTTGACGCTGCCCGATCCTATTTGATGGACAATAGTAGCGAAGGACATCACGATAAATATTTCGAAATAAATCCCGAGAATTGTTTTACAACAGAAGGACTTAATGAGCAGAAGCAACGTCGTTCTTTATCCAAAGGTATGTAAAGATATAATTTCACAAATTATTCATGATTGTGAGGTGTACGTATGCACCATAACCTTCAAACTAATCCGATTTTATGAAATCATTCGCATCAAAATACTCTGATCACAAAAAAAATCGAATGTAACATGTGACATGTTTATTGTTTACACAATAATCTCAGTTATTATTGGGTTTGGGGGGAATTTCTGGAGAGAAACATTTTCTGGGGGTATGTAGTTCTCTACCATGTATGGGCCATTGTACAGAACCATGTGCTCCCCAGAAAATGTCTTTTAACATTTTTAGATGAACCGAAGCGGACCTCAAACATTTGCCAAATGAAAAGGGACTAAATATTCCATTGAAAGAAAAAAATTAAAATCTCTTTATCTCTTATCATTAATGAATTATCTCAGTAATTATTGGGTTTTGGGGAGAATTTCTGAAGACATTCCTTGTAGAGCATCATGTGCTCGCCAAAAATGTCTTTTAACAATTTTAGATGAACCGAAGGGGACCCCAAATATTTGCTAAATGAAAAGGTTCTCTACACATTCACATGGTAAAAAAGTAAAAAATTCCATGTTTGTTATTTCTGTAATTAAGTCGGTTGTTATTGGATTTGTGAGAAAATTCCTTTTGAAATTTTTTTGAAGTCTGCAATTTTGTATTCTTTCCAAATGGACGAAGTTTTGGTTACTCACTTCGGAGAGAAGATTGGACTCCCAGTGAATTCTAATGGGAATTTAAACCTGAACGATCTCCAACAGTATTTCCGCAGCTCAAAATTTGCTATATATTGATGATAAGGGAAATGCGCGTGGGTTACGTATTGTGGACGGAGAAATTCTGCTTAATCCCAACATCAAACGTTATGAGGTGCGTATTGGACCTAACCCTTGTGGACCTCAACTGCAAAAAAAGAAACGAATCGTAGAACTTGTAAAGGAGTTGAAAGACACAAGCGGGTTGAAATCAGCTAAAAAAAGGAAAGCAAATGATCCCAACGACTCCCCTCCAGCTTTAACGAATCGTCCATCTGGACGTCCAGCATCTGCAGCAGTGAATCTGCAGTTGGGTAGATTCCACAAATTCCAGGGTCAAAGTACTCCTACCCAAATCAAATCTCCTTTTAATGGACTGGCCACTATTGCACTGAGCAGATCGTCAGAATATCTTGCTGAGGACATTTGTCGATTGGGCCAAGCTACTTTTGCTGATGGCAATGCTTGGAATTCAGATGACAATACGTTCTCCATTGGAACATTCAGGGAGAATTTCATGATGGGTTTCAAAGACGGACAGAATCAAACGTGTGATTTCTGGAAGTACGTTGGAGATTCAAAATTCAACATCTCCAAAAGCAGACTATATTTATATAGTGAACCCAAAGACGATATTTCAAAAGGAGGGAGTTCTCCAGAGCCATCTCCAGTGATTCCCAAGAGAAATCAGTACTCGTCGAATTCCACAGCATCATCGAGCTCTGTTCCAAAAGAACAAATGAAAAAACAACAGAAGAAATCCAGGGCATTGACTTTTGCACTGCTAACTGAGATGACAGGGATCGTTGATGGTGTTGTCAGTTCTAATCCACCGGGGTCTTCAGTTCGTCCATCTCGAGATGAGATAACAGT